TGGCAATTAGGTGTAATCAGAAGCAGGTGAAAATTTCCTTCCGCTGTCCCAGATGCTCTTCTCTTTCCACTTTCTATTTTACGTGGATTCCTTCCCTCTGTGAGGCGTGGTAATGTTCACTGCAGAGAGGGTCTTGCTGTTGTGATTGATCTTTAGCTGAACTTCCCCTGGTGGGGGCGGGGGGAGTGGTACAGACTGAACTATGCCCCCAGCACTGGAAGCCCTCCGTCCAGCCTGGGCCAGGTGTGCCCCACTGTGGTCCTGTCCTCAGGTCTTACGGGGACCTGAGCATTTCCAGCTGTGACATTAGGCATATTTGCAAGGGTCACAATGTGGAAGCTTCCAGAAGTGAATGAAGCACTATGGTTTCGGTTCACCAGCTGCCTCGGACTGGAAGTTGGCTCCTGGTCGTTTCCTGACGCCAGCTTGCCAGCTTCAGGTGCATTAGACTTTACAGCAGCAGACAGGGTGCCCGGTGCCATGCCATCGCCCCCGGCTGATCTCTGTCCTTGTCGAAGGCTCTGTTGAGGCAAATGCTCCCTCATGCTTTTTTCATTTTCTTGTTTTAGGAGTTGGCATCCAACACATAAGCCCTCCAGCTTCAGACAGCGGCCATGCCGCCATCCATCCCTTCGCTGGTCACAGCCTCTGCCTTCCCCATCTCTCTGCCTTCTACCACCTACTAAAACCAGCAGACCTCCCTTCATCCTCAGTCTCTTTTCTCTCTTCACACCCAGAAGCATGGGTCTCCCCTGGGGAAACCACTTCCCCTGCAACCCTCTTTCTGGGGCTGTTTCTTCCCTGATCCCCCCTCCCCCCCAAAAAAAGTTCTCCCTTCTAATCTATATCCGTTTTGCAGCTAGAGTCCTCTTTGCAACCATGTCACTCCCCTGGGGAAAACCCTCCATTGGTTTCCCATTTCTCTTAAGATAATAGCTTGTAATTTTTCATGTGGCTCCAGCCTTTCCCGTCTCTCCAGCCTCATCTCAAACATCTTCCTCTGGCTTCCCGTTCAAGCTGCTCCACCTACGCTGTCACCCCTGCCAAACTCACTCCTGCCACAGGGCTTTTGCACATGCTGTTCCTGCTCCTTGGAATGATACTCCCTCCCCTCTTTGACTACATAATTAACTTCTGCTTATCTTTTAATTCTCATCTCAAGCAGTTCTTCAAGGAACTCTCTCTGACTGCCATGCCTTTCTCAGTCTTTTACAACATGCACCTCTCCCTTGGGGCACTTTCCAGGGTTATAATTTTGCATTTATGTGTCCATTTGGCCGGTATTGTCTACAAGCAGAAAGTTCCATGAGAGCCAGGACTGCCTGTTGTATTCATCAATGAGTTCCCCCGGTTCCTGGCAGTAGTAGGTGCTCCATAGACATATGTCAGATGGATGAATGGACAGATGGGTGGGTGGATGGACCAACAAATGAGTAGGTGGATGGGCAGATGGATAAATGGATGGCTAGAACTTTTGCCAAAGAAATAACATTTGCAGATATATTTTTGAAGTGGAGAGAAGAGAAGCACAGTCAGACTTCAGCTTCAAATCCCATCCTCTCTTTCGTTGCGGGCTGAGTCCCATCCATGCTTCCTCTAACGCTGTGGTAGAAAATACTGGCTTTATTAATGTGTGCATTTGTGAATCACATCATGAATCACTACCATGGGTTAGGTGCCGGAGAGCATGCCTTTGCACCCTTGTTCCACGGGAATTCACAGTCTGCTGGGGTCTGCAGACGGGAAGATACATCATTACCTTTCAGTGAAAAGAACTTAGAGCTGGGACTAGGAGCTCTCGCTGTGGTTTTAAAACTAAGCTTTGTGGAGCCGGGGTTTCCCTTGAGTTGGCTCAGGGGCTGC